CGAAAAGGCCACGCTGACTTTGCTAGCTGGGGTTTGTCCTGACGCAGAGAGCCTGCATTCCTGGGCAGTGACTGAACTGTTGACAGTGGCCCAGCAAGCACAAGGGTCCAAAGTGGGGTATCTCCTTCCCACTGGGTCTCCATGGACTCAAACACTTTGAGATTTCATTCATCCCAGGAAATCCCTTTGGCCAAGCTTTCCTTCCTACAGCTCATCCGAATTCTTCCTTTGGCTTACTGCTCTGGTCACCGCTGTGGTATATCCCTCAGATGGGACAGGACACATCCACTGTATGTGCACCATTACTTCTTCCTTGTTCTAGAACACCTCTCTCAATGCTTGCATTCACCTTTTATGTAAGCACGGACTAGCTGGCATGGCTGTCATGGCACCGAGGCCTTTCCAAGCTTGGCTTGATCAGAGGGTGGATTTTCATGTGGAAGATCCAGAAAGGAATACAAGTATTTATTAGGAACAACAGCTGCCCCTGTTGCAGGCTGACAGCTCTAGGTGTCTCTGACGCCTTCCCTTGGAGGCATCAAGAAGACAGTTACGAGCATCCTGCCCAGCGCACCTGCCTGCTGCCACTGGGGCAGGCCAGGGGGCAGCTGCAGGCCTGGACCATAAGTTCAGGCCTCATGCTGACCCAGCCTGGCTGCTTCCTGGGGCCTGTTCAATACCAGTCTGGACAAATTCTCTGGCAGTGTCTTTATTTTTCCTCTTAGATTAGGCCAAACATAGCTCCGGAAAGCAGCAGGATTTCCTTGGGGCTGCTGGACTTTGGCAAACCAAAGAGGGGTTTTGCAGGTGACCTTGCTGGCTTAGGGGCCTTGATGGAGACGCCCCGCAGTAGCACGGCCTGGCCACGCGGCGGCGCCCACCTCCATCACATCCTAACCCCTTTGTCACCGGAGGAACAGCGTGGTCCAAGGGCTTTCCCCGAGAGGCGAAAATGTCACCTTACTCTTGTCACCGTGGAATTTAGAAATTCTCAAAATACGGTTCCTCTCTATTGGCCAGCGTTGATGTTGAGCCTCCAGTTTCCCTGTGCAAGACACGGCGGCAGATCTCGGGCGTCTCAGCAGCCGGGAAATGACCAGATCTTGTTGCCATGGCACCCTCAGCCACGCGCACAGTTGCAGGTAAGCAGTGGGTTGGGGAAGCCTTCAGTGGCGTTCCTGTAGCGCTGCCTGCCCGCCCTGCTGGGAGCTGCAGCTGCTGAGGTCCCCCTGCTGTCCCCTGGCGTGGCTGGCCTGGGGTGACCCGGGCTGGGTAGTACGCTTGCGCCTGGATCCACTCCCCAGGTCAGTTTGCAAACGTCCCTTTAGAAGAACTAAGAGAGGCATCTAAACGCCATTCCTTCAGCACCCTAAAGAGGGCTGCAGCCCTTGGTCCTGACCCCTCAGACAGCCACAAGGACCAGAAGTGGGGTCACGTGCCCTCAGAGCTCTCATTTCTTCCTCCCTTTTCTGTGTCCCTTCTTCTTCTTTAAAAGAAGGCTTTATTTATTTTTATTGAAAATGCAGATTTACAGAGAGGAGAGACTGAGAGAAAGATCTTCTGTCCCCTACTTCACGCCCCAAATGGCCGTAACAGCTGCCGTGGAGCCATTCAGGAGCAGGAGCCAGGAGTTTCTTTTGGGCCGTCCTCGACTGCTTTCCCAGGCCACAGGCAGGAAACTAGATGGCAAATGGACAGCAGGGACAAGAACCGGGGCCCACATGGGATCCCGGGCATGCAGGGCAAGGATGTGGGCACTGAGCCATCCTGCCAGGGCTCTACTTATCCCTCTCCCAGCCCCCTTCCTTTCTGTCTTTCTCCATCTCTGACTCTCTCGATAAGACACTGCCTCCCAAGGCTTCAAAGGCGGTTAAGCAGAACATGAGCGAAAGATAAACATGTAACCTCTCCAACTCCAAGCCATGGGTCCGCAGCATGGCCTTGGTGGAGAAAGGCCACGTGAAACAGAATTTAACAACTGTTACCGCAACCACTGGATGTGCAGAACTTTCCCCATGGTGCACCCATCCCAAGGGCTGAGACACACTTGGTGTGGGAGGATGTCGGGGTGTGCCCTCGAGGTGCCACCTCCTAGAAGGCTGGGGACCAGGAACCCCCTCACCATCGAGGGAACTTGCGCCTCTCTCAGATGACGCCTGTCCCTCGGTTGTTTATAAGGGGCCTGCTGGTTGCTTCTGTGGAGGCTGAGAAAGTGTGAACCATCTCAGCCAGAAGGAGGGGGTCTGTGTCCTTCCAGAAGCGGCCGATGAGATGCACTTCAATGGCGGGGCCATGCCATCAGTTTGTTTCAAGGAGATTCCATCTGTCCCTTCGGCTCGCAGAGATGAGTGATTATAATTTTCAGTGTACAGGATGGGAAAAATATTAGATTTTGAAAAAGGAGAACTTCCTGGAGGCAAGGTCAAGATTGACCTTCCCGCTGAATTCCCTTGAATGAAATCATGCTTTGTGAGTGTCCTTGCGTGTCATTCACCGAGTCACAGCCTGGCAGGCTTGGCAGGTCTGGGACTGGAGTGGTACCAGGGAAGGACAGTGCCATGAGGTGGCCATAGGTTAGCCTCAGTCCTGGTGTGAGCCCTTCTGAGTACAAGACAGACCTCATTCACAACGCTCAAAGGGACCTGGCATGGCCCATGGTCACTGCGAACCTACGTGACACATCAGCAACTCAGACCTTCTCACACAGCTGCGAGAGACGAGCCCCACTCGTGTCTAGGCATTTGAGTGTCACGGCTGTGCATGTGTGGGTAGAATCGGTTTCCCCACAACAGACTTTGAGGTCTCTACAATCTCATTCTATTCCTCCTGGGGCTAGTTCTCTTTGCTAACCTGTCCCAAGAGGCAGCCACTCTGGGCTCTCCCTGGCAGGGAGGCAGCAGCCAACAGTGGCAGCAGAATGACCTATCTCTTGGTTGGGTCCAGCAGTCTGGTCTTGAGGGATGTCCACAATTTAAGTTGGCAGACAGTGGCTATCAATGACAGATGCAGAGCCCAGGGTCACTCCTTAAGATGATAAAATGCCCTCCAAGTGGATTCTGCACATTTGGAAGGTGCATGGGACCAGCTGACGGTGAGGGCAGCACAGTGAGGCCCCCCACGCCATGCCAACATCACTCAGAAAACCTCTCATGGAACTGGCGTTTCCCCAGGCTCAAAGACAAATCGCTCTTTCCCCTTTACTTTTCCCTAATGCCACAGTCACGGCTAGGAAGAAACTGTTCTGAATCTCAACAACAGTACAAGTGGCACTCATTGCCGTGCTGCGCCGAGAGTAAATGCAGCCTCTGGTTGGTTGGTCTCGGATGTGTATGGAGACGGAGGGTGGACATCCACATGTCAGCTCCACAAATGCAGACAAAGCCTGAGTCCTAATGGAGGAAGGGGCAGATACCTCAACCTCCGTGTGTGTGTGTGTGTGTGTGAGAGAGAGAGAGAGAGAGAGAGAGAGAGAGAATGTGTTTGCATGTTCACGTGTGTGCATGTGTGTAAAAACTACAGATCTACTCTAGAAAAAAAGCAATATACACATGAATGCACTCATGACATTTGCAAAATGTTTTATGACACAATCAAGAAATGACAGTCTTTTCTTGAGGTTTATTTATGACAAATGCTCTGAGAAAGTAAAACTCAATGAATAGGCTCTTGCTGGTGAATGCTGTCTTGGGCTGGAAGAAGGTATGTCAACATTTCCACCTCACCCCTGCTCTCTCTCTCTCTCTGTCCCTCTCTCTCTCTCTCCCCTCTCTCTCCTCTCCCTCCCCTCTCTCTCTCCTCTCTCTCTCCCCCAAACAATAACTACACGAGAAATGATGGAAGTGCCCAACCAGCTGCACAGCAAGCATGACTGTTAAAGCCCTTTCATGTCACAGACCACTTTCTATTCCGTTTTCTGTAATCTTCATAGCACATCCCTGCGGCAGGCGTGTGCTGCGGGGTCGGCGTGGGGAGAGGGAAGAGGGAGTCATGGCTGCTCCTATTTTACCAGTGGTTAGATGATGTCCCACAGACAATGTGTGCCAGCCAACCTGTGTTTCTCAGCTTTCAGTGATGGCTGGGAGTGTGAGGAGTGGTCCAGCTCATGGGGAGACTGCCTCTGGCCAGCTTCTCACCCAGAACAATACAGGTGGAAGTGATTCAAGTGGTGGGATTTGTTCTTGCCCTGGGCATCTCAATGCATCACTGTGTCCTGGAGGCCAGCAGCAGATGGGGAGCTCCATGTCCCTCTACACTTAGGACAATATTATACTCTTACCCTGAACACCCAACACACCGTCCCTGAAGCCACATGCCCACAAGGGTGCCCTGGACCAGCGTCCTACTGCAAGAGGACACAGGCAGGCTTACCCAGCACTGGCAGACCACAAGGCTTTCAGGGTCTCCTCTTCGTCTATCAAGTCCCATGCCCACTCAAGTCTCTGTGTTCACATGAGGTCTTGCATGCCAGGTACAGAAGATCAGAGCTGTGGTGGGTGTTTTGCCCAGGCTGAATCAGCAAGCAATGTTCCTAGATTCCTGTCTGTCCCATCCAACACACACTGTCCCTCAGCTGGATGACTTCGGAGGCCTTTCTTCACACCGTTGGTTCTCATGTGAGTTCGAACAGCAGAGAGTAACCCAGAAAGCTCACCTGGCGACATACACTTGCTACTCGTTTGAAGAAGTGGCCTGATTTTCTACAGCCTGCTCCCATCCTCCGTTCTTATGTTACATGCAGAGGACAATACAGGCAGAATCTCTAAGTCTAAGAAGTGTCATTCCCCTTTGCCTTACCCTATGTGGCCATGCTCTCAGTCACAGCACAGTCACGGAAGCATGGGAGCCGGACCCTTCTGCAACCAGCCTGTTACTAATGAAATCATGGAAAACTAGCAGCGCATCATTAAGGTTAACTCTGTGGACAGAAGCACCAAAGCCAGCAAGCAGCCCATCGGGGAGCTCTACCACAGGACCTGGACGAGCCGTGCCCTGCACTCTACCTGTGCAGATGAAGCTGGACAGGCCTCCGTAGATAACTTCATCGTTGTCCGGCAGGATAAAGGGACACCGCGTCTGGACCTCCAAACAGTATTGCTTGCAAGGAATCGTCTTTCTGCAGTTGAACTGTGTGACTTCAAAATACTGGGAACACAGCCAGGCTTTGTAGACAATCTGGAGGAAGAGAGAGGAAGAGAGAGAGAGAAAGAAGGAAGAATTAACATCACGGAGGGATGAGGGCATGGTGACCCCCAGTGAAGGGGGCTGGCTGTGTGAGGGGTGCTGGGGCTGCAGGTACATCACCAGAGAACTCTCACTTTAGACCACGTCTTTACACAATGCCAGCTGCCAGGGCTATGAATGCAGTCAATGCCAAGGGCTTGCACTAAGGCGAGGGCCAGGTTACAGTGAGCCCTTGGCACAATGCAGAAGGTGTGCTGGCTCATTCGAGAAACAGTGGCTTGAAGCAAGGATCTGACATTGTGAAAGCCTGAGGATACATAAAGTGAAATGGCAGGGCGCCTCCTTGCTTTGGTTGACAAGGGGCTCCCAGGCCCGCGTCTGTTTTCCCTCTGGACACTAGGTGGCGAACAGAGCTCCACAACGCCAGCCTGGGCGTGGACAGCAGGCTGCTAGGAGCCTTGCTGCTTGCAAAAGCACAGAGCCTCTCCTGCCAGCGGCCTCCTCTAGTCAACACTCAGCAAGTGTGGGTTGGGGCCCCAGGGGAGACTCATCAGAACCGCAGTTCTGAGCGTTGAGCTGCAAAACCACATCTAGAAGAAGTTTCATACATGGAGGGCAGATTGCGGCTTCAAGGATTTTCTTGTTTTTGGCAGCACTTTGGGCAAGTAAACATCCAAAAAAAAAAGCAGAAAGTCATTCAGATAACACAAAGCACCAGTACCCTCCCCAGTGTAGACAAGCAGCCAGGTTCTGTGTGTCCAATATAGTTCAGGTAAATATCGGCTGGGGGTATTGTAGTTGGCACGATGAAGAACTTAGAGCTGACATACACATTAAATGACAAATCCCTGCGGATAAGAGCAAGAATACCAGCCAGCATTCACTGACTTTACACACTCGCCTCAGCTAGTACAAACACTTTCCCCTGCTGACAGAGTGCGTCAATTCGTCACATTTAGCGAGGAATCGTAGTAAGAGAAGTGGAGCATCAGAACCCTTTGTTCTTGGTAGTGACTCATTTTATATGAAAATGATTTTTAAAGAACCAAGGGCATCCCAAGGGAGTTTCTGGACAAGTGTTAAGGCAATACAGGCTTGCAAACCACCGGCCACTGTCCATGTTGTGTCAGGAAGTCTGTTGAACTTTCACTTACTGCCTTCAGTTCCACACAAAGCAATATGCTTTGAGGTATTAAAAGGGAGATATGGATATGATTTTGGAGAGCTAAAATAAATTACTATTTATTAAGTCATCAATTGTTCATAGTCCTAAAATTTGTTTGGAAAACATACACATGATGATATTTTTTTAAAGATTTTTTGAATGGGTTGTAACATCAAAATCTATATTAAAAGCTGCACTTAGAAGGTACTGGCACAGTGGCCAGGGAGGCTAATCCTCAGCCTGTGGCTCCTGCATGCTATGGTGGCACCGGAGCCTGTCCTGGTTGCTCCACTTGTTAAGCAGCTCCCCAATTATAGCTTGGGATAGCTTGAGTGCTTGGGCCCCTGTGTCCACATGGGATGCCCAGAAGAAGCTCCATGTGGGGAATTAACCAGTGGAAGGAAGACAGCCCTCGCTTTCTCCTCTGTGTGTGTGCGATACTAACTCGAAACTCTGTAATCCAAAGACTAACCTAGCTGAAGAACCCAAGAATCCTCCAGGTGCAAGTGGGACAGTGGTGGGAGTAGCTGTGTGGTGGGAGTAGCTGTGTGGTGGGAGTAGCTGTGCGGTGGGAGTAGCTGTGCGGTGGGAGTAGCTGTGTGGCAGTGCCGGGTGCAGGTGCTCCTGCAGTGCTGTCAGAAAACAGAGTGGCAGCTTCAGTCTCAGAAGGGGCAGTGAAAGAACTCCCTATGCATACATCAGAGAAAGACAAGACTCAAGACTCCATGGATGCTTGTGGATGACATCATGTGACACAGCAGTTAGGATACAGCGATGGGCTGTGGATCCTCTGTGTCTTGGGCATAATCAACTCTGTGAGAACTACAAGAAGCCACTAAGGATTTTTTTGTTTTTTTGTTTTTGTTTGTTTGTTTTGTTTTGTTTTTTATAAAACTCACAGTCTGCATGCTGCCAGCTTTCTTATGTCCAGAACATTTTTTTTTTATTCGAGTGCCACTGTGTAATTTAGAATCATGTGTTTATTTCGGTGGGCCGAAACATGCTCTCCTCGCTGGTTCCTGCCTGCAGTTTGCTCTCCTGTGATCACTCAGATGATGAAGGTTTCCACGTAGTACATGGCAGCTCATCAGGCAACTTTTGACCCACACGGGCAGACCTGCAGTTCTTCAGCGCCATCCTCTGTTCCCTCCAGAACACAGGGATTCTATCTGGGGTTCTGTGAAGGCACCTGCTCTTCTGGCTCATTTCCCTCAGCTCCAACACCTCTTTTGTTCATCTGCTTGAGTTGACGACACTTTTTTTCCATGAACATTGGTGTTGGCCATGGAGAAAACATAGACTTCCCCGGAGAATAGCCAATCTCAACTTCTGCCTCCTTCTCCCTCCTTCCTACTTTCTCTGTCTTGGGATCAATTCCCAGGTGTCTGCATAGGCAATAAAGATGCCTCATTTGAATATTACATGTATTCTAACATTTTAATTGCAGGTGTAAAAGATGTCAGAAAGCCACTGGGGAGAAAGATGTGAGCTTGAGACAAAATAAAACCAGGAGAGAGATGTGTTGTCTGCAACTTGAAAGCTGAAAGCCATGAGGCAGTTTCCATCTTGCTGTGGTCTTTCTTTCCCTGTGGAAGTATGTTTATGTGCAAAGAGGCTTTTCATGCATGCAAGACATCCACTAAGATATCTCATCCTAGACCAGAAATGCTTTGCATGGAGGATAGGAGACTGTTCTCTGACCTTGAGAAAGGTCAGTGCACAGCGAGGTGCCGAGTCAGCAGGAGTTTGAAAACTGTCAAGTCAAGAGCAAAGAAGCCCTGGGGTGTCGCGGGCGGGGGTGCAGGCAGGGGGCCTGGCACACCTTTGCAGAGGAGACAATATTTCTGTGCTGAGGACAGTAGTTTACAAAAATTTGGAAACAGAAATTCAAGGCAAGATGGAGGCCACATAGCTTAACGTTGCTACAATAGGAAGAACAGCTTCCTCTGCAGAAGAGCTGCAGAAGAGAAACAAGTTAACACCAGGGTTGCTGAGGTCTCCGCAGCTGGAAACAGTCAAATCGGCTTTAGAACACTTTGCCAGAATGCCGGAAGGAGCATTCCAAGGCTTGCAAGGTAATTGGTTCCAAGATACTTTCTAATCACTCTGTTTTTTTGTTTTTGTTTTTTTGTTTTTTTTTTTTTTTTGTAAGAAGCAGGTTGCAGAGGATCTTCTTTGGTGTCACAGAGCTAAGAGGAACACAATGATTAATTTGGGAAAGCATGACAGGAATTTCCAACAAATCGATCGTATGAGCCAAAGTGAAGGTAACACTCCACAGTATAATGTCCCTAAGAACACTACAGCGCAGGGAGTCAGCAATCCTTAGCCTTCCCCTGTACAGATCAACAACAGATAAATTGCTTGGCTATGTGTTACTGACTAGGATAAATGATTGTATGCAGGCAAAGAATAATTTGGGAAAGGAAAGCAAATACCTGTACCCAGATCCTGTAACAAGAAGGTCACAGCAAACCATGTTCTTATGCCATGCGGGGTCTGTCCATATGAGGGAGTCAAGTTACTCCAGTAGGTAGTTATACTCTTAAAGGTTATTTCCCATGGCCTGTTTACGTACACTCTTGCCCTGCTCTGAGCAGTGAGTGACTGAGCAAAAACTCCATACTGCCTCTCACACAGCAACAAAGAGACACTCTGAACTGGTGTGGGATGAGTGATAGACTAAATTACGAAGCTGTCTAAATGAGAACATGAATCCTACATAATGGTTGCATACCAATGCATTTTCTCCTTTCTTATTTTTCCCAAGACACACTGAGACTTGTTGGGGAAGCCTTAAGGTGAGAGAGGTGATGACAGCTCTGTCAAGGCACTCTGCTTGGGAACTGCTGTAATCTACTTCATCTTAGGGGACTCAGAAAGTGAGGAAAGTAAGGGAGAGTCTGGGTCTGGGGTCCCTGGCGTTCCTTGGGTCCCTGGAACCTCCCAGACTCAGAGTCCGGAAGGCCATCTAACTGTGCCTGTTGTTTTGAAAGTGGGGATTCTGATGGACCATGGATGACAGTGGTGGAGGAAGGCAAGGACTGGGCCTGGATGTAAGGATGTGCATGTGAGTTTTGTTATAATATATTGTATTATTTAGAAGGTACCACTGAGTGTGTTTGCATTTTTAACATATTCTCTATATACCCATACATATGGATTTGAATATTTTCAGTGCCAAATCATGTGTTTCCTCAAGTCACTTTCTGTCAACAGCATTTTTGAAGCCTTTGCTGGCTTTTGGTGTGGTGGCCATCCTGAGCCCTTCCCCCACCTACCGGGGAATTTGGTGTCCTCTCTACATTTTTTTCTGCTTCAGAAGCCCTTGCCTGCCACAGCCTGTTGGAGGATGCCACCCAAAAGAGCTAAAGTGAGGTAAAGATACCAGTGTGGGGCACTGTGTCTCATGACCTCCCTGCCGTATTTCTGATGAGAACAGCAATGAGAGAAGCTGCTTCACCGCTTCCTGGTATTCATGGCACATGGCATCAAGCGGTGGGACTCTACAAAGGGATGTGTCAGGTGTAAGGAAAGATGAGCCTGGAGTAGCCCATGTCCAGCTTTGCTGGCCCTGCAGTATTTAGGTCATGGGGTAGGGAATGGCATGACCGTCTGTGTGGACCTGTGTCCCATTCAATGATAGCCATCTATGGAAAGCCATTCACAAGATGGTCATCAATTGCATGTTTCCAGTAGTATGTCATGATTTCATTACTTCTGCATTACATTTGATTCCTTGCTTCAAATTCAAGTTTACACTTTAAAGCTAGACACAAATTTGTATCGTAGTTATACAAGGAAATGCACAATGTTTAATGGAAAT